TTTTATTTTCAGTATATGCTGTAGAGGCCAGCGACATGGCCGAACAAACCAAACGTATTGTAGAGGAGAATAATATGGGAGATAAAATAGAAGTTATCAACTCTAAAGTTGAGGTTGGTTCAGCGAATTATGTGCTAAAAAGTTGATCAAAATAACAACCGATGGAGTTTACCTTGACATTTTATCATTGATAATTTTTTTTTTCATAAACAATATTTTATTAATACATTAAAGGGATTGGGGAACAGGCTTATGCCTATATAACTATATTTGACGTAATCCTTTAATTACAAATTTTCAAAATCTGAAAAATGGGTATTTGTATAACCTTGTTTGGTTGAAAACTTACTCTTCAGAAATCTTATTTGTTTTTGATTTCCCAGGTCCATTTTACTTTCCACAGTCTAATAAAATTGTCTGGATAATTCAATTTCTTATCCATTTTTTTTTAACTCCTGTGTTCTATATACATTTTTACACAACTGTGGCATACTGCTTACATTATACTATTCTGTTTCATTGAGTAGTATTCTTTCAATGTAATTGAATAATTTCAGGAGGTAGAATTAGAAGAAATGGTTGATATTATTGTCAGTGAGTGGATGGTAAGTTTTGTATATTTTCTTGTTATTGCAGGATTAATTAATTAATTGCAAATGTTAATATAGCTTTGAAACTTTATCTTCACACTTTATAATCATCTATCTATTTTTTTTCTGTTGGTATCTTTTCTCCCAATGATGACAATGTTAAGAAGTAGTATACCATAAAACTGTGTTCTGTTATTTGAATGTGATCTCAATCCCTAAATGTTGCTTAAGAATTATATTGACATTGATGTTATAAAGGGATATACATGTAGTTTACTCTATTAACTAATATTTATATATTCATCTTACAGGGGTATAATTTACTATATGAGTCAATGTTACAGTCTGTTTTATATGCAAGAGATAAATTTTTGAAGAAGGTAAGATATAAGTCCAGAAGGCTTGATGATACACATACAAAGACTTGATGATACACATACAAAGACTTGATGATACACATACAAAGACTTGATGATACACATACAAAGAATTGATGATACACATAGGAAGGCTTGGTGATACACATATAAAGGTTAGATGATACACATGCAAAGGTTAGATGATACAAATTGGAATGCTTGATGATACACATACAAAAACTTGATGATACACATACAAAGCCTTGATGATACACATAGGAAGGCTTGATGATACACACATAAAGAATAGATGATACACATAGATGATATAAATACAAAAGCTTGAAAACTTCTGTTCAATATCCTTATCAACGAAATTACCTGTATTGGACTAAATTGGAATGCTTCAGTATTAAGCCAATTCATTGTCAATAATTAAACCTGGTTATATTAATTCTTATTTTATTATTTTTTAGGATGGTTTCATGTTTCCTGAAAAAGCCTCATTATATATAGCACCAATTTGTGATGAGGACTATATTGATAGGTGAGTTAAGATCTGTTTTACAATTGTGAGTACAAGGTGGAGGCATATGAAAGACAAATCTTCCTGATTCTCATTCAATCGTAGTAAAATTCTGTATCTTTCATTATCCATGTTATTAATTGTAATGTTTTGTTATGAGTAATATATTGTAATGTATCGCAATGTATATTATATTGTAATGTACTGTTATGTGAAATATTATTGTTATGTAATGTAATGTGTCATATAATTGTTATGTAATGTAATGTGTCATATTATTGTTATGTAATGTAATGTGTCATATTATTGTTATGTAATGTAATGTGTCATATTATTGTTATGTAATGTAATGTGTCATATTATTGTAATGTAATGTACAATATATTGTAATGTATTGTCTTGTACTGTAATGTGTAATATATTGTAATACATTGAAATGTCTTGTAATGCAGTGTGTAATATATTGTAATGTGTAATATATTGTAATGTGTAATATATTGTAATGTGTAATGTGTAATGTATTGTAATGTGTAATTTGTAATGTGTAATACATTGTAATGTATTGTAATGTAATGTGTAATGTATTGTAATGTGTATGTATTGTAATGTGTAATATATTGTAATGTGTAATATATTGTAATGTAATGTTTAATATATTGTAATGTATTATAATGTGTAATACACTGTAATGTGTAATATATTGTAATGTGTAATATATTGTAATGTGTAATATATTGTAATGTGTAATGTGTAATGTATTGTAATGTGTAATGTATTGTAATGTGTAATACATTGTAATGTATTGTAATGTAATGTGTAATGTATTGTAATGTGTATGTATTGTAATGTGTAATATATTGTAATGTGTAATATATTGTAATGTAATGTTTAATATATTGTAATGTATTATAATGTGTAATACACTGTAATGTGTAATATATTGTAATGTGTAATATATTGTAATGTGTAGTATATTGGATTTATTGTTGTTTAGATTAAAAGAATGGAACAATATGAAAGAGAGGTATAAAGTCTGTATGAAAAGTATGATACCTTATGCTCAAAAGTGTATGGCAAGTATGTTTCTCAATTATGATATACAATGGTTATCAAATATATACATTCACATAGAGAATATAATAAAACTGTCAAAACCTTCTGAAATCGAGAATCTGAAGATAATGTGTGATATTAGGATTTGAGTCTTTATTAAATGAAAATAGTCTTCAGAAGTGCCAGAAATGTACTAAAATCGCATAATTCCTTCAAAAACATCTCATACTAGGCATTTTTTTTTCAATTCCTTTCATTTTAACTTTCGAACGTGAAAAATTCAGGACACATGGATTTGAAGGCTCAAATTTCGAGGATGAGCTAAAAAAATTCTCGGTTTGAGACTAAGGTGACAAAATTGACACTACTTTGCCTTTAAATACCAATTTAAGTTTCTAATACTTATTTCAATTAGTAATTGTTGTCCAACAGAAACCTCTGAGGTGGCATGTGATACATTAACAATTTTAGCAACTCTAAAAACCCTTCTTTGTTAGTCATTTGTTAGTCATTTGAATTCGAGGTAACAGCTGATTTGTAAAATTATTTCTGTTCCAGGAAATGTCCAGATAACATGTGTGCCTCAAGAAGCAATTCAGTCTCATAAATGTGAGATCTGTAGTCTTGATTTACGATCTGTAACTATATCAGACCTGCAAAACATACAGGTAAAATTATATACAGAGGTTGAGTCAGTTACTTAATGATGTTGAACTCTTTCAATGCAGTAACCCTTACTATTTTAGTTCTGCTTAATTAAAGTTCAGTGACCGATATATAAGGATGTAAAACTCCATATAAATGGTGTCTCAAGAAAAACCTGAAAGTGATATTTAATTTTAATTTAGAATAGAAATAGAATTGAAATTATCATCTAACTGCTTCCTTTCTAAAAGTGAAAAATTGTGAATCTGTTTAACTTGTATCAATTGAGTTATATAGTTATGATGTTGTTTTTCTGTTCCAGTGTAGTTTTGAAATGAAGTGTTTTGGTCAATCTCATATTAATGGAGTTGTTACATGGTTTACAGTGGAGTTTCCTTCCGCCATTATATTGTCAACTTCGCCATACGAAGAGTAGGTAAATCTTTTATTATCATAATAAATATTACCACTAAATCGTGACAAAGGAAAATATAATTACAATGAGTATTACCATAAACTCATCATAAGATTAAATATCATCACAATAAACATTACCATAAAATGATAAGAATATCACAATAAATATTACCATAAACTCATCATTAGATTAAATATCATCACAATAAACATTACCATAAAATGATAAGAATATCACAATAAATATTACCATAAACTCATAAGATTAAATATCATCACAATAAACATTACCATAAAATGATAAGAATATCACAATAAATATTACCATAAACTCATCATAAGATTAAATATCATCACAATAAACATTACCATAAAATGATAAGAATATCACAATAAATATTACCATAAACTCATCATAAGATTAAATATCATCACAATAAACATTACCATAAAATGATAAGAATATCACAATAAATATTACCATAAACTCATCATAAGATTAAATATCATCACAATAAACATTACCATAAAATGATAAGAATATCACAATAAATATTACCATAAACTCATCATTAGATTAAATATCATCACAATAAACATTACCATAAAATGATAAGAATATCACAATAAATATTACCATAAACTCATAAGATTAAATATCATCACAATAAACATTACCATAAAATGATAAGAATATCACAATAAATATTACCATAAACTCATCATAAGATTAAATATCATCACAATAAACATTACCATAAAATGATAAGAATATCACAATAAATATTACCATAAACTCATCATAAGATTAAATATCATCACAATAAACATTACCATAAAATGATAAGAATATCACAATAAATATTACCATAAACTCATCATAAGATTAAATATCATCACAATAAACATTACCATAAAATGATAAGAATATCACAATAAATATTACCATAAACTCATCATAAGATTAAATATCATCACAATAAACATTACCATAAAATGATAAGAATATCACAATAAATATTACCATAAGATGATAAGAATATCACAATAAATATTACCATAAACTCATCATAAGATTAAATATCATCACAATAAACATTACCATAAAATGATAAGAATATCACAATAAATATTACCATAAACTCATCATAAGATTAAATATTGCCACAATAAATATTACCATAAAATCATCATAAAAATAAAAAACTTCACAAAAAAAATTACCATAAAATCACAAGAATGAATATGACAACTAATATTACCATTAAATCATCTCCAGAATAAATATTGCCAGAATAAATATTGCCACAATAAATATTACCATAAAAATCACCACAAGAATAAATATCATTATAATAAATATTACTATCAAATCATCAGAAGAATGAATATCATTATTATAGATATTACTGTTAAATCATCAGAAGAATGAATATCATTATAATAAATATTACTATTAAATCATCAGAAGAATAAATATTATAATAAATATTACTGTTAAATCATCAGAAGAATGAATATCATTATAATAAATATTACTATTAAATCATCAGAAGAATAAATATTATAATAAATATCACTATTAAATCATAAGCAGAATGAATATCATCACAATGAATATTACCATTAAATCATCACTAGAATAAATATAAGAATAAATATCACAAGAATGCACCAAGGCTGATGCCAGATTTGATGAAAATCAAATCAGACATGTAATATCTTATCCATTTTTATTCTCCCACATGAAATGGGGGGCGAATGCTGGCGTCACCCATGTCCGTCCGTTTTTTGACGAAACGAAACATTGTTATCACGCAAGGATTAATCCTATTAAAAATAAAAAATATCGAAAAATATTTAGCATGAGTTATTGCCTTTTTTTCTGAAAATGCTTGTTAACACGATAGAAGGTGCAATTATTGACGGATTTTGATGAAACATAGTGTGAGTGTTTGCTATCAGCCAAGGATTAATCCTATTGGAAATAAAAAAATCGAAAAATAATTACTATGAGTTATTGCTCTTGTTCTTGAAAACGCCTTCAATTATTAGCTCTTAAACGCCCTAGAAGGTTGAATTATTTACAGATTTTGACGAAACTTAGTGTGAGTGTTTGTAATCACCCAAGGATGAACCCTTCTGAAATCAGAAAATCAAAAAATATTTAGTGTGAGTCATTGCCCTTGTTCTTAAAAACGCGTTCAAGTTTTAGCCTGTAAAGACGTTAGAAGGCCAAATTCTTGACAGATTTTGTTGAAACTTGGTAATATTATTCAGTATCGCCTCAAAAAGTTAAAAAGAAGTGTATGACTGAAAGTTGAATATATCATGCTGGTAGTTGTTACTGTACTGCTAAATATTTTTTATTTAAAATCGAAGCTGCCAGTGGGCGTATATTACCTTGCCTGGCAAGCTATCTTTATAAAGAATTGTGGCAAAAGACGCATGTAAAGAATATATATGATAATTGATAATGTGAAAGATCAACAGCAAATTTTGTTAAAGCTTGAGCGTTCTTTGTTTTTTGATTATAGATCAACACATTGGGCTCAATCTGTTTTCCATCTAAGTCAATATATAGACGTAGAGCAAGATAGTATGATACGTGGTACAATATCTATTCAACCAAATTCAATTAGCAACAGGTAAGACAGATTGCTATAAATTATGGGGAAGTTCCGAGGTTTTGATTCTGATTTTCTCATTAGATTCCCGCGTTTTGAAAGGTAAATCTTATAATATCGCTATGTATTAGAGGAAATGGAAAATATCAGATGAGGGTCAAAGGGGATACAGGCACCCATGAGAGGTACAGGGGAGATTTTACCGTTTACGATGAGTCGGAAGTCATTTCTTACACTGTTTATTGTTCAAACCAAATTTTTAATAGTTCTTTTAAAAAAAAAAAAAAAAAAATACAACTAAAAAGAGGTCTTAGATCCCTCGAAATTAAAGAAATTTCGTCGACCACCTGTTGCGTATGACAGATTTAATTTTTCTTTTTTTTCCAGATTTTTGGATGTAGTATTGAAGTATAGAAAAGATAGCCAGAAAGAAACTGTTCAGAATATATTAATGGATGACAAATTAATATAGAAATTCTGTTAAGACCATTTTGACATTTCAAACCTCAGCTATGTGGTTCTTGTGTGAATGGTAAAACAAATTTAAAGTGAAACGTTCGTGTAAACATAGAACTATTTATTTTCTATTACAGTTCTATGGTGTAAACGCTATAGAACGTTCACGATCTTTGAAATATTCAAATAGACGATGGAATTAATTTCAGCCTCGCATGAAACATTTCAAATCGACAAGAGATAGATAACCTACGGACTTCATGACATCATAGGGAGAGTTCATAAAAATATAGCTATAATAAAAAAAGTTAGATAAAATGTTGTTTCTTTTTTTTTTCTTTTTATATTAACTCTATCCATGGACTTTCAATAAATAAATTTTCTAAGAATCTAAGAAGCTTTCCACCACATCCGCGTTCTAATGTTTATCAAAAAAGAAAAAAGGGATATAGAGAAGGAGTTGCTATGTAGCTACAATACGTTACAATTAACACCTGAAGAAAACTGCGTCAGAAAAAATTGATCGGATTTAATGTACTAAGCGACAGATATTATTTCATCATCTTCACAGTTTTTGTCATTGTCCATTTCACAACTATAAAGCATCGGAACCTAACACCGAGGCATTACTTCATTTGACTACATAGATTCCATACAGGTAAGAAAATTTTAAAATTCTCGTTGTTTGGACATGAAAAGGTAATTCCAGGTCCTCAATATCGTACTTTTTTCTACGAGACAGAAATCTTCAGGTCTTGAAAATCAGTTGCAACTCAACTAGATATCAGATATTAAGTGGATATTATATTCATATTTTTAATTTTTTAAACAAAATTTCTTTTTTGTTAAATGCAGCATGAAGAATTTTTCTTTTTGTTGATTTGTTTAAAACGCTTAAAGAATATATTCAAAAAATCTTCGTTTATTGGCTATAAATACTTATGTAATTTGAATAATTATCAGTTTCTTTCAATTTAATTCTAGTTCTTTTTTTTTTCAGATTAACAACTACAATGGATTCCATACTTGAGGTCAATTCTACTTTTCAACATAATACGACAGAAACGTTGCTCACAACTAACTACCCTACCCTTCTGAAAGTAATATCATTTTGTAATGTATATTTGATACCTGTCATAATTATAATTGGCATACTGGGTAATATCATCTCTTTAGTTGTCTTTATTGGATCTAAGTTTCGTAAAATATCGACTGCTGTATATTTGGCAGCCATGGCTGTGTCTGATATAGGATTCCTGATTACTGCTGGATTAACATGGTTAGAAAGTATGGGACTGAATATATTTCAACTTCCAGGCATGTGTCATATTTTTATCTATCTTGGGTATGTTTTTGGATTTACATCAGTTTGGTTTATCACATTGTTAACAGTGGAAATTTTTATAGCTATTTTCTATTCTCAAAAAGCAGTCAATATATGCACTGTTAAATCTGCTAGAAAGATCGTTTGTATTACAGCATTTTGTGGATTTTCGATTTACTTTTTTTCATTTTGGACATCCGATACAACAATGATAGGTAATCACGTGTTTTGTATTACTCGAATTAATGCCAGAGATGCATTAATTGGCATTTCACTTACAGACACGCTTTTGGCATTTTTATTGCCATTTTCAATGATAGTGTACACTTGCACAAAGATTCTGGTGAACTCCATCTTTAACAGCACACCATCTGAACAGGACCAACCGATTAACTCTGAAAGTTCAATTCGTGCACCAGGAGGAGGACTAGGAAAGGCACGAAAAAAGATGATGAAAATGCTGTTAACTACGATTATGGTTTTTCTGTTGCTAAACCTACCAAGTCACGCTTTAAGACTTCAAGCCTATGTTAGATCCATCATCAGTTCAGCATACAGAACATCAGAAATTGAGCATCTTATACAGCAGATACTTCAAATTTTGTATTATCTGAATTTCGGCAGCAATTTCTTCATATATAACATATGCTCAAAGAAGTTCAGACAGATCTTACTTAAATTTGCATTTCGTTGCGAGGTGTCGGTGCGTGTTCCAGCTAGAGATCTAGATATACAAGAACAACCACGGCGTAATTTTATAAGAAATGAGAACTCTTGTTTGGTTGAAATTCATTTATCTCAGATACATTGGTCTGAATTACCCTCACTTCAAGAAGAGTTTGTAGCTATGTCACCACGCTGTTATATTAGAATCGATGAAAATGATAGAAATACATCAGTTGTATTATCATAACTGCAAAAATTACACTTATATATTGGTTGCCATATAGCAACTTTTTGTATAAAACTTATATATTGCTTGCCATACAGCTATTTTTTGTATAAAACATTATATTGGTTGCCATATTGCCACTTTTGTAAGCCTATAAAACATGTAAAATTGCACTTATATTGCTTGTCATATAGCTACTTTTTTTTATAAAACATGTAAAAGTACACTTATATATTTGTTGCCATATAGCTACTTTTTTTTATAAAACATGTAATAGTACACTTATATATTGGTTGTCATATAGCTTCTTTTGTATAAAACAAGTAAAATTACACTCTTATATATTTGTTGCCATATAGTTACTTTTGTATAAAACATGTAAAATTACACTAATATATTTGTTGCCATTTAGCTTCTTTTGCATAAAACATGTAAAATTACACTTATATATTTGTTGCCATATACCTTCTTTTGTATAAAACAAGTAAAATTACACATATATTTGTTGCCATATAGTTACTTTTGTATAAAACATGTAAAAGTACACTTATATATTTGTTGCCATATAGCTACTTTTGTATAAAACAAGTAAAATTACACTTATATATTTGTTGCCATATAGCTTCTTTTGTATAAAACAAGTAAAATTACACTTATATATTTGTTGCCATATAGTTACTTTTTTATAAAACATGTAAAATTACACTTATATATTTGTTGCCATATAGACACTTTTGTATAAAACGTGTAAAATTAGTCTTATATATTGCTTGCCACATAGTTACTTTTGTATGTAAAAAACGTAAAATTACACTTATATATTGCTTTCCATATAGCTTCTTTTGTGTAAAAAAAAATGTAAAATGATACATAGTGTGCAATTTATTATTAACTGTTAATTTTTGTTTTTGTTTTGATTGTAAGTATTGTATTATATTTTATTATTTTAAGTGGTAAGTTCGGCATATTCAGAGATTGATTTATGTCTTGAATATATGTAAATAATCCCTTCAAATAAACTTCAAACTAGAATCGCACTTTCTTGTTCTATATGGAAGTGTCTCAACAAAAGACGACCCGTCATTTTTACTTTCAAACGCAAATAATTCTGGACCCACATGGCTTTTATACAGGCTAAATTTTCGACGGTGTGCTATGAACACTATTACAGTCGAGTAACCTAATTTCGTGGAAACCTATTATTCGTGGATTTCCGGAAAGGAATTTCAGTAGTTTCAAGCAAGGTAAAATGTATTGATGTATATTTTGACAAATACAAAATGGCGGATCTCACTTATTACAAAACGTCACCATTTTTTATCGGCCGAATTTCCTTATAATCCCAAGCGGTAATCGGAATTTCAAGTGTCGTCTGCTAGAATGTAGTCCAACGAATGAAGTCACGTGTTCAACTAGCGGATTCCGTGTCAGCAGAAAATTTCTATGGAACACAAAGTGGACCATATTCTTATGTTGTTTCAGTGACTTTTAGCAATAAATCACGCTACGTATCATATTTTGTCAGTCACTATTTTTTTTTTAAATCGCGGTTCTTTGAAGGAATTGTCACTAGTTATAATGAATTGATATTAAAGATAAATACTAAGAGAAGTTAATTATACCACCCGGTATCCATACTACGTGTTTTTCTAGACTTATTTATAGATCAAACATTGTACACGAAAATAGGTGACGCATTCTGCCGCCGTTGCCGAGTTGGTTGCTCGTGAAATATGGGTCAAAGTGAAGGATTCATCAAGAAAATCGAAATAAACCAATTTTAATTATTTTGTAGAATATCTGAGGAAACATCTAAGACATAAATTTTTTTTTTCGTTTTTTTAAATTTGTCAGAATAATAAAATTTTTTACTATCTTCGAAATATTTAGTATTCGCTTTTTATATTGGATTGAAATTTGAAATGATGGGATTTTATATGTTTTAGATTCATCTTAAGACAATTTTGTTTTGTCATTCACTCCTGCATTGTAGACTGTAAAATGTTTTTATTTACTGTTTTCTTTTTTGTAGGCTATAATTGTTTCTGATTTTTGTTCATTAATTTTGCTGTCAAAATTTAAAATCAATTTTTGATAATTATCATCCATTATAATATCATTTCACCCGGGTGAAAATACAAGTTTTTAATTCAAAATATGTTATATAATTATATTCTAGTTTTTTAATTCAAAATTATGTTTTATAATTATATTCTAGTTTTTTAATTCAAAATTATGTTTTATAATTATATTCTAGTTTTTTAATTCAAAATTGAAATGATGTCGTATACGAACCACCGTAGGATCATCTTATTTTGTCTAATGATGATTGTTTAAGGGTTGTTTCAGTACCGTCGCCAGGAATGAATTGGTGCTGGGACTCAGATTTTGTACTCAGCTAATTTGAAGAATTAAAGGCCCCAGAGAACTCCTTTCTGACATTGTAAATGAATCAATCTGCTGAACTGAAGAAGGTTTTGCTTGGGCTTAATTCTCACTTGCTGTTACCCTGCAGCCCCCACGGACCCCACCATTACGACGGGGTTGGGTTGTTTGACATGAAAAACGCTTTTAAAAAAAGATAGGCCTAGCATGGAGCAGAATTGATTTCATGTCATCTTTATTCATTATTTAAACTATTTTGAGAAAATATTAAACTATGAAACTGGACATCTGAAACCAGCGGCAAGCTACAAATCTGTCATTGTCTTTCGTGATGACCTTCGATTAAGGCATGCACAAACCAAATCAACGCATGCGTAAACCACCTGGCTGTTAGTGTTGCCTTGATATTATTCCCACATGCTGTTTATCAAGTTTGAAACAGTATAAGTAAATAATAAGTAAATAATAAGTTATCCTGACAACGCTGATTTCCGTAATCCTTACTTTAGTTTCCATGGTAGTATAACAGTTTGTTTTATAATTATCTGTTATAAACCACATTATAGATAATATCATTGAATGATAATGGGAACTTCAAGCATTTACACAGGGTGGTTGTAGCCATAGCCCTGCACAAATTGTAAGAAGGTTGCATGCTTATGAAGGACAGTTATTTATAGGTGTACTATTAAAGCCCCAGTCCCACATGCCCGGGACGAGGCCCCGGAGTATCCGAGGTATACCGGGGTCGTTCGGGTCTGATCCTTGGCTACTCTTTGGAAGAGAGCAAAAATCCGGTGCTGTGCGGTCTGGGCTGGTTCGGGCTCGGCCCAGGATTTATTTGACATCCGGTACAAACGGGGTAGCCGGAAGGCTCATTCCGGCCATCATCCCTATCATGTCCAGGTATTATGTAATTTCAAAACTATTTTTATAGGCAAACATGAAATGGGGTGCGTATACTGCCGTCACCCATGTCCGTCCGTCGGTATACGTCAGTCCATAATTACTCGTAAACACGTTAGAAGGCACAATTCTTGACTGTTTTTGACGAAATATGGATGGGTTGTTTGTAATCACCCAAGGATGAACCTTATTCAGAAAATCCATATTTAATTAGGATGAGTTATTGCCCATGTTCTTTAAAACGTGTTCAATTTTAGCTTGTAAACACTCTGGAAGGTTAAATTATTTGGCGAAACTTGGTGTCAATGTTTTTTATCACCCAAGGATGAACCCTATTAAAAATCATAAAAATCTAAAAATATTGGGTATGCGTTAATGCCCTTAAATATTTAAACAAAAGTAAATTTATACTAATGAATCATTAGATACTGATAAATCATAGAATGTTTATATTGATAAATCATTAAATAATTATATATATAATGAATCATTATATAATTATATATATAATGAATCATTAAATATATTTATACTTATAAATCATTAAATATTTATACAAAAGTATATTTATACTAATGAATCATTTAATATTTATATCAACAATGAATCAAAAATATATTGATATTGATAAATCATTAAATATTGATATCAATAATGAATCAAAATATATTTATATTGATAAATCGTTAAAGATTCATACAAAAGTATATTCATACTAATGAATCATTAGATACTGATAAATCATAGTACATTTAT